TTATTTATCTCATAAAAGTTTTGTGTACTGGTTTCGTTAAATTCGAGACAAGCGATGGTTTCTCGTACCTGTTCAATGCCTTGACAAGACTTTTTTGTACGTTATGTTTCGCCCAGTCAGGTAAAATATTACCTTAATTCTCAAAACTTTCCGCCATTTTAAAACACAGAGGGAAAAACTTTGAAAAGATGACGTCAGTCGTGCGTCTGTCCCCAATAGATCATAGACGAGAACCAATCAAAATGCGAGAATAACTTGGGTTATTATATAATAAACAATTCGATTATGAGCTCGAGATTTCTTTTTACAAGAACTGTCTAATTTCTCGCGCGCTGATTGGCTCATTTTTATCATCAATAAGAAGAGTACAGACGGATAAAATTTTAATTTATACAAACTTTCAAGTTCAACTTTCAGCTGTCAAACTGTCAACTTTTTAACCAATGAGATTTTATGGCCTTTTTTAAGTAGCCAGTCAAAAAGCGGGAAAAGCTATTGACAACGTTCGCGTCATTTTGAATACATTTCACTTAGCATTGTTTACGGCAAGTTTACGGCGTCTTTTCTTCTCATTTATTCCCGGCATTTGACCATTTTGGGGTCTTATTATTGTAAAAAACAAATTGGCGTCATAACATTGTCATAGTTTACTGCGGAACCAATCGCCTGCGGCTCGTGTTTCCACGGCCACTTTGACAATGTTATGACGCAATTTATCATCAATAAGTGGACAGACGCATAAAAAACTGACGTCAATTTGTTAAATCCCTCGTCAACTATCGCGTGATAGAAATCGAGAGTGAATAATCCAATTGTTTTAGTATAAATCTACTAGTCGTTCAAAACTTAATCTAAATCCTCTTCACAGACCCTTGGAAAACGCCAAGAAGCGGCCGTAATTTTGTTAACAAGGGCACACTGCTACGCTACTCACTATCTATCACAGAATAGATAGTGAGTAGCGTAGCCAATCAGAGAACGGCATTCATGATAGAACGCTAGTAGATTTATACTAAAACTCGATAGTTGCATGCTGCACGCTTACCATTTCTTAAACAGCCCTTTTCTGTACAGAAGTTCAATGTGCATAAGAGGTAATTTTTTACACAGTCAGACCCCTAAAGTGGCCACCCTCGGGGAAATGGAAGGTGGCCGCTTAATAGCGGTTGGCCCCTTCATAGGGGTTTGCTTACCTTGAATAGTTTTCGTCGATTTCTCAGTGAACATGGGGTCACTTCAACTCTTCAAGACCATTATGATAAACTTGTGTTTGAATATTTTTATCACTTCTCGCCTTCTATTTTGGATTCTTATCTACCATCGCCTTTTCCAAAACAAAGTGAATTTACGCGTTTTTAATATTGGATGGGCGTTTAATAGGGGTAAAGACAATAGAAAGACCCTCATCGGGACGACCAAGAGGTGGCCGCTGGGGGCCGGTTAATTGGGGTTGTTATTTATAGTATTGCACTGACACATGTGATATGCTCCTGGTTATCGTTTGGATGAAAATCAGGGTTTTGACAGCTGTGCATAAAAAGGGCATATTTCAGGTAGATCGTCGCCTTAACGCACAATTTTTTGAGGGCCGTTCGCGCGACAGCCTATAGCGGTCTATACCCTGTGACCAGCCCTATGGCTGAGACATACGATTTATGTTGACGTTATCTTTCTCTTACTCACTACGCACATTTACGTTTTGTTTTGTGTTTGTTGTGGTTACACGTCAATAATCTTGGCGTATTGTGTTTGTTCATTAAAGCTTAACCCTTACCCTGAGTGACCTCGATTTCCACGTCACTGCACAACATTGTTATATCATTTATTTTGACGAAGCCTTGTGATTTGTACGACATGATTACATGAGCTCTTTTTCTGACCCTTAGTGACAACTTTCAGAATCGTAAAATTCACTTTACATGCAGCTACACAATCAAACAAGAATACACTATTCTTTGCATCTGACGTAACAGCGAAACGTTGTACACAGGGGGAGTCAATTTGCACAACAATGGAAAAATTAGTAAAACCTTTGCATACATGAGAAACGACGCAGTTCTGTCAAGCGTATCAACATTAAAGTTCAGTGAACGAGGCTGTAAAAATCTTTCGAAAACTTTCAGTGCAAAGATGGCCCACCTCCTGGTTATTCTGTTTTTGCAAGGATTATTTGTAAAAAGTAAGTATATCAGAGATTATTTCATTAATTTCGTATTTATTGGCTGTTGAACTGGTTCGATTATTTATTTTTCCGCGTGCCGTGCATGATCATGCACCTCTATACCGATTACGCTGACAAACTGCTAACTGAGATTCACTTCCTCAACATTATAGGTTTTATATCTTCGCTGCGTTTAAATCACTCTTTTCATTCCGGGTTTTTACTCTTTTAAATGAACTCACCGATACACACACAACAGACAGTCACGATTAAGCCGGACATGTCTCGAAGGAATAATTGTTCAGTTTGTCTTAATCTTTGTATTACTTGTTTTAAAATGTTGTTTAGTAACAGTCTTGTTGCTCGTTACCGATTTATAAATACTCCGGCTAGGCACGAGAAAGTAATCAAACTCTAACCTGGCTGGCCTGTCTTAGAGCTTCGGTGTTTTCAGTGAAAACAAAAGAGAAAGACAGAAACACCGAAGCTCTAAGACACTTCAGCTTGCGCTGTTAATTTAGCATCATTGTAACTGAGTATTTTCACTTCCAAGAGCGGCTAAATTCACGTGTAGAAAACTTTATATTACGACATGAAAGTACCAACTTTGTTGGGGTGAAAAGGATAAACGTGTATTTTACAAAAAAAATGAGTTATAATTTGCATAACAATATATAACGGGTGTTAAAGCGACCTTTTTGGGGAATTAGCAGATCATTCCAACATTCTCTTATTTAGTTGCTCACTTTTAATTTCCAATGATCTCCTTTCAACTTCTGCTCTTGACAAACTTCATTCAACTCTGATCATTACAACTCCGATGCGTAGGTTTGGCCCGCGCGCTTTTATCTGGATCACACCCGTGCTGTCAATCAGCTGTCTAATCCGTCAAATTCGGAAATCAACGCTGATGTCAGTACATGCGCAGTGCTCTACTAGCATAAATGCGGCTGTGCCGTATGTCACCCTAGGTTTGCACCTTCGCAGAATTTACTTAGTGAAAAATCTTTTCATTCCTGAGTTTCCACTATCAAGCGTAGGGAGTATGATCCAAATAAAACAGCACGTAAAATATATAAATAATCAAGAATAAGTTTAGAGAATAAAATCAAGGAAAGGTGCCAAGGTCTCCAATAAAAGTTGTTGTTGAAAATTCTGTACGACTAAAGTGTTACAAGAAATAGGTTTGCAAACTCCCAGCTTCGTGGGCGGGATTTCCAGTTAGAATTATCCATCTCATTAAGTGAACGTGCTCTTGGTACAAACACACTCTAACGAGGTGCCGCTGCTATTGCAAAGAGTCTTTTCTTTATTTGGGTCGAAGTGTGAACCAGGAGTAAAGTAATTAACCATTGCTATCAAACTCCCTGAAAAGATCAGTAAAAAGAGCAAGGTTTGACTGAAAAATTGGACAGGAGACTAAAAATAAGTGAAGGAGTCTAAAACGACTAATTCCAAAAAGAGCGCTTCCAAATCTAGATTTCAATTTTTATTTCATTTTCTCGATCGACACCTGCGAGTAAACAAACGAGTTGCTGGACAACGCAGCTGAACCGAAGACATGTAGTGTAGTAACGGTGCTCGCAGAAATCGGCTAACAAATTATTTAAGTAGATACTGCATTCAAAATAGTTAAGTCACACGGTACCATTTCCAGTGCAACAACAGCCAAGTAATTTACACATATTTCGCTAAAGAACTAGTTCCTAGGAAACGCAGCACCTGCGTATACAACAACAACAATAAGAGAAGACAACATTTGATCAGCTAGACAAGGAGCAAGTCCGTAATGTCACTGTATCTCTAACACCTAAAATATTCCAAGATTATATTTCGAATGACCCAACACCTATTTCTTTAAACATCACCATTACCTTTTTACCCATTATTACTCACGAATATATATGGCTGGGAATTTATATCTTGTTTGCATTTTTGTTTTACACGGGTGAAATCAAATTGCGCTTGCGCCTCATTTAAGCGCAGTGTTCCGAACTAAACTTTAGTTCAGGCCATTTTGTTATCATGGCCATCCTTCTCATTATTCTTTGTCTGCAGGGATTTTTCACAAAAAGTAAGTATAGAGTTCATCATAATTCCTCTGTTACAATACAGATTTCATCGCCAGTTTCAAAGCTGGACTGATTTTCTCGCGGTGAAGAAAATTCACCACGAGCAACCAATTCACATATGTTATTAGACAGTCTTTTCGGTGTATTTTTTACATGAATATATGGCTTAAAAATATATTTTATAAAAATTATTGCGCTGTATTCTATAAAAAAATTCAATTGCTGTGTTATTTTTTTATAAGTTTTCCACTTGTAAGTGGTACAAGCGTCTGAATAAAATCCTTCAATATCCCGATATATTACAGTGGTTGAACTTGAAATCACCTGCTTGAACTACACATAGGAGATAGACCCAAGATAAACTTGTTAAAGCCAGATTTTCTTTGCAAAGTAAATACGAAACATTTTCTGGTAATCACGCAATGGCATCTCGATCCTCAGGTCCTTCTTATTTCTGGCAAACCAAAACTTTACATGGTGGAATACTTAGTTTTTCTTACATCTGGCCTGTATCTCAAGAACCACCACCATTTTCTCTGCTGGTTAATGATTTCAATCATGATTATAATTTCGAATGGGAACGTGTTAATGGCAACTTTTCGTGCTGCTCTTTCGTTAGTACTTTTGTTATCTAAATCGGGAATTCCTTTTAGATCTAATCACTGTAAGAGAACACGGCAGGTGAAAACGCCTTGGATTTCTATCAAATATCAATAGCGAAAGAATTTTTCCGTGGGTTTTCGTTTAAATTTTGCTTGGATTACTAAATGATCCATGAGTACTGGCTGCGAGACAGAGATTCTCTTCTGCTTGAACGAGCGGGGAATTCAGTTATGCCAGTAATATTGGACGAATGCAAAAAGCCTCCGTCAGTTTAGTAAAGACCAGTAAATGTAAGAATATTTCATTTGTTCAGTTGTCCAAATAAGTTATTGGGGCAATACTGAAAAAATTTACTTCAGTATCATGCAGCACCCATTTATCAATTTATGGATGCCCACAGGAGGTTTTTAAATACGTACGGAGCGTAATTTTAAAATTATAAAATTTAGTCGCTCGGGGTCGCTCGAGGTTTCCGTTGTTTAGTATAAACTGATGAGCCCTTTTCATAAATTACTGAACTGGAGATATATTTAATTGATGAAAAGTTTGCTGATTTTAAAGCACTATCTAACTAAAACAGAAAATGCCAGTTATCTTCCTTCCTACTTGAACAAGAATTGAAGGATTTGGTTCTCACATCAGTCCTCTTCGTTTTCAGTGGAGTTCGATGCGACAGCTAACCTTTATTGTTGCCAGTTTGTCTGTAGCTCGTCACTTTGTTTGTCATTTTGTGAGTCATGAAATAAACAACTAATCGTAAGGAAGCTCCAGCAATTTGTTGTCATTGAAGTGTTTTAAGCTTATGCTTACTGAGAGCGCTTTTTAAGATTCTATTTGTTATCGATTAACTCCAGTCTATTTTTTAAAGGCATATTTGGGTCATCTAACCTCTCATTTGAACATCAAATCCGCCTACGACTTCTGACTGACTACGACAAGCAAGTCCGACCAGTTTTAGGGAATAAAACCGTGGAAGTGTCGTTTTCTATGAAGATCAGCAGACTTGTTAAAGTGGTGAGTATAGTCAAATGGATGAATGGCATGTCTATTGACTAAGGAATAAGCTGTTGTTAACCAGGGCCAGGTTTGAGCTCACTCAGGATTAGCGAGAATTTTTATTCAAGGTTTGTAAGTTTTCGGTGAAGCTTTTTGGTTATACTGTTTGTCCTTCAGTTTTGAATTTAAATAATCTCAAACTAGACCAAATATAGGCAGTGAAGAACCGGCATTTTTATAGAAGAAAAATTAATATTTCGGTTAACTTTTAATCTTGGGTTAGCGTTAACCGGCTTTCAAACAAGTCGGCCAATTAGTACTGATAATCATTGGCTGAGCGTTTGGGTCTGCTAGGCTGAAGAGTTGTATTGCAGGGCAGTTGTCGACGTTTCCCTTAGCCATTTCTTTTCTCCGTGGACTTATGCTCCTGATTTCACTCTGTTTTGTCTTTTGTTTGTATCACAGGATACGAAAGAACAAATAATTATTTTGGATACATGGATAATACAGGTATGCAATAAGTTACATTGCTGCATTACTAATACGTTTTAATCTACAAATCTTGAAGTGGAGACTCGATGGAGACTGATTTGACCATTTAAGCATATCAGCTAGCTGAAATGAAAAGTCATTAACTTCTGGTCACATCATCTAGAAACCAGGAAGTATAACGCAGAGACAGACAACTGCAAACTGTTTTAGTTGCCTGTCAGACCTGTTACACACCAACCTGAAAAAATATATTAGCAAAATTTCGTTGAATTCTCTCATTTTCAATTCGTATGCGCTGCTTCTCTTACAGGAATATTCAGACTGAACGCCGGCTCTAATTAACGTTCAACTAGGTTGAACGGGTTTGAACCGAATTCCGTTATTTCTGAACCCAGGTCATACTTATAGTTCATGAACAAAGGGCTGGCTACTCAGGTTTATATGGTTGTATATAACACTACGTAACTCAAATCGAAATAAGACTTTTCTTATTCAAAGTTGTTTTGGTTTCCACAGACGTGGAGAAATGAATTCCTTGTATGGAACTCGGATGATTATGGAGGAGTATCTCGAGTACAGTTTGTCCCGGACGAAATCTGGGTGCCGGACATTTCTCTTTTCAATAAGTAGGTGTTTGTAGATAAAAGAAATTGTGGCTGATATTTGTATTGAGCCAGTTTGTTAAAGATTTGAATGTTTTTATGGAACAAAATATGTACTTGAAATAAATGTGCACACAATGATGTAAATAATAAAAAAATGCATTTGTAATAAATATGTATGTATATAATGTCACTATCTACTGAATCATTCATTTATGATGTCCAAAATTACGAGAAAACAAACGGGAAGTCTTAAAATTGTATCTCACTTCAGTAAAAAAACAAAAAAAAAAAAAA